ATCAGAAACTTTGATTATTTTGTGATAAATCCAAGAATGATGATGGACAGGTACGCTAGCTAACAGTGGATGGACCCTCCTGTGAACAGGTCCGACCCGCCTCCAGAAGCAAGACGAACAGAGAAGTCAGAGAGTTGGATGCTGAACGTCAGAACTCTGTGGAGCGGCGATCCCTTCATCACATTATAATGGCACACTGTTAGCAACCAGCTCTCTCTGAACACACAAAAACATGAGTGGCTTACTAAACTGTCTGAGGTGTTATGATTCAATGTCTTGTTTTCATTTTTTCACCTCTCAGCTAATCTCTTGTCATTCACATCATTCCAACAACAACAGTATCATTCATTGCTTTTATTTCATTTGCTCTGTAAAAGCAAAACACTTAGCATGTCAGTTAGTCGGGATAAATGGCTGCGATTAAACCGGCACAATATTCAGAGGATGTAGTAGCGATATACATTTTATTTAGGGCAGAAACAATTCAGCTTGTTCATGGTTAATCGATTATTTAAACAGTCATCAAATAGTCAAAAAATATGAATTGAACCATTTGTTTATTTGCATTTTTTAATTTATTTCTAATAATGTTAAAAAAATAGCTCAAGTTGCAATGAAAAAATCAGAAGAATGTTCTATTTTTTTCCAATTAATCGACTAATTGGCAGATTAATCAATTTCTGAAATAATCGTTAGTGGCAGCTGTAGACGATCAAGATGATGATATTGACTTTTGTAAAATGCCTTGATGCGATATTTGTTATAAATTGGTGTTTTATAAATAACCAATATTTTCCATATTTGGCCACATATGTCATCTCTGCATGCCAATAACATGACTTTTACACCCTTTGATGCTCAGATCTGATATTATAGAAAAAGATTTTTAAAGCCCATGGAGATAGGTGATGATGGAAAGGAAAATATAAAATAATCGTCAATATTGACATAAAATATCTGAACAAGAACATTATAATGCGAGTATTTATTCATTTATTTTTAATAAATCGAGCACCCCTTACAGACTTGTTTCTTGAATGTTTTGGAATTTGGTAGCAAAGAACATTCATAAATATCCTAAAAGTCAACAGAAATGTATATTTTCTGTGAGTGACATTCAAATCATCTGCAGTGAAAGTGTTTTTCCCAAATAGTCTATAGTGAGTAGTAATTTGAATGTAACTGGCCTAGTTGTGGTTCTGTAAGTGTTCCTGTCAACAACCTGAATGGTCAACCCATGCAAATCTGAAACTGCAGCCTGGTACAAATAAATTCTGCCACAGAGGCTGCTGTCCCAGGAACCGTGGACAGCATCTATGAGGGTATAAAATAAAAGGTTATGACTGTACTCTGCTTATGGACAAAAAAGAAGAGGATGCTGGCCTTAATGGACTATCTGACTAGAGAAAGCTTTAAATGTGAGCTCATTTTCAGAGTGGAACCAGCAGAAACCGAAACCAGCAACCCCAGCGGAGGAAGGAAAAGTACATCCATCAGATCGCAAAGCAGCAGTGATGTGCCATTAATGAGATCTGAATCAAAAGAACATTAGCAACGCAAAAAGTCAAAAATAAAACAAACCAATGTGTGTGAAAATCTAAATGCTTCATATACACTCTCACACTGCTGCTGCCAATAACTCCTAGATGAATCGCAATTGCAAAATTGTGTTTTTTCGACATTAGAAGAATATTGACAAAGTTTTGTGTACATTTGTAATGGAAATGTTGCTAGAGGAACGATGCATCAGCATCAACATCAGTATGTGCAGATGTTTGTCAGTTTTTAATATATTGCCATGGGTCTGATAAATAAAACTGGGTCGATATTAAAAAAATATATATTTCCACATTGATGCCGTTTGTATTTATGGGGGCAGGGGAGGTTGTTTCTGAGGGTCTTGTTTGGTCATATGACAGCGATGATGCAGTGCAGTATTGTAGTAATTGTTTTTACAATGTCGAAAGGGAAGCGTAGGGAAATATTGATTAACAGCCATAACAGACGTATTAACATCAGCCCAAATTTTCATATCGTGCATTCTTAGTTGCTATATTTGCCCAATCGCTGTAGCATCAGCTCTGTATTAGCACCTCTTTTAAAGCTGCAGGCACAATTGTTTTAAAGAAGGGTTAGAAAAAGCATGTCTGACCTCAAAGCAGAGGTCAGACCTCGAGTTGAGAAATGTGAGCATTTCTCAATTCGAATGTTTGAGTATGTGTGTGTGTGCGTGTGTGTGAGAAAGCAAAAAAATGTTTGAGCTGCTGAATAATTTTTTTGAAAAGGCTACATTTTTGGAAATTGCACTTCACTTTTGAACAATGTTTTAGCAAAAACTAAAAAAATAGTTCCACTTCACACTGTTAAACATATTAACAGTGACTTGAATTTTACGACTTGGGTTTATTAGAATGCTAAATGTGTTGCACTTCATTTCTTTTACTTGAATTTGTTTATTTACTGCAGTTTGGTTGAGATTTTACGTTTGACTGTACTATGCATTCAAGAAAAAATATATACATATCACAACATTAAAGAACTGTTTTTATTACTTTGGTTAAAATATTTTAATTTCCAGTACACTCCCATTAGAGTAACCTAAAATTTAACCAACAATTTGTTAGATTAATTGAACAATCGGAAAAACAAAACAAAAAAAAAAAAACATCGTTAAACTAATCTAGAGAAGTCATCGTTAAGTGCAGCCCCAACTGTCACATTTACAAACCTCCCATGAAAAGAAACTCTCAATAACCAAATCTCAACCACATCCTGTTTTAGCGAGTTGCACGCTATGACCTAAAACAGAGCACTATGAAGCCCACTGCAGCACGCCTCTCTGTAAATGCTTAAAAAGAAGAGGGCAAAGCGGTGTCAGTTCAATCAGAATGGGGCTTTAGTCTTGTCTGACGGCCTACTAACAGTGGGTGCTTGCAAACAGCATGGGTGAGGGGGTGTGGCGGGGGGGTTGGGTGCTAACGTCAAGAGCTACTATATGCTGGTAGCACAGCTGCACCAGCTTCACAGGCAAGCCCCAGCAGCAGCTACCAGTTTGAAGCTAACGCTGTTGTACAGCTATCAGTCAAATAAGCCTGGGAGTAAGTGACAGCTATGACAGGGTAGACTGTGGAGCACAGAACATGGAAAGGACACAGTCTGCCACCGCTTTCTATTTGCCTCGGATTCGTGAGCTGGTTTTGAAGCACGCACTGATGTTTCAGTCAGGCTAACACGAGATTAACCTCATGGATAAATAATCAGATCCGAATCTGCTAATCTTCCGTTAATCACTAATCTGATCCATTTTATTTAGGAAGAACATTTAAAAGAAACAATACATTTATCCACTAGGTAAATTAACATTAAAACAAAACAATCATCCTCTCTTAAATAATACGAACACTACAATCCATACAAATAAACGTACACAAAAAAAGTTAGGAACGGATCTAGGTCAATTCACCTCTTTGTTGATTGGTATGCCCATTTCATACTGATATGTATAGAGGAATTATTTGTTTGTAAACACAGCCGATGAGCGTGAAACCTGACAAAAACACAGCAAGAGCTGGGCCGGCTAAATATGAACTTAATTCATATTTAGCGTGCAAATTACAGATGAAATACAATAATTTCTTCCTATTTTGGTCACAATTAGCAGGAAAGGGTGGCGCTCCCCAGTCAAAATTGCAGCAGGTTTGAACAGGACGTTGTGTGAGATAGAGATGATGTGCTAAAAATAAAAACCTCTAACAACTGCAGATGCCGCAAAGCCGCGTGCAGGAGTTGCACCGGGCGAAGAGAAATGACCTGCCCTGGAGGCGAGTTGTGAGTTATTTTGTTAGCCTAATTGTAAATAGTTTAAACAGCTAGAAAAGTGTATTCTTTCCTGCCTTTTAAAGGTGACATGCACAGTAGAGTAGCTGATAAAATGGGCATTTATCGCATTATCATTTATTGTGATAAATTTGTGTACTTTGATTAATCGCTCTTACAATAAACTCCAATTAACTATTGTTAAAATCTCTTAAAACTGTCTGTATTTTCAAGATTGACAGTTTTACTATTTTCTCCACTGTTTCTTTAATGAAGGCATCAATAAATACCAATAAGGTTGAAAATATAGTCACTGCAAGCAGCTTATAATCACACTTCATTTTGAAAAATGGCCATTTAGGGCCACTGATCAAACCAAATTCACTAAAAATCTATCCCTTTGTGGCATGTATGTTTTAATTTTGTTACAAAAACTACAGAGAATACAATATCTCCCTGATTTGCTTTCTCAAATCCCTGCTAACTACATGTAGAGCCCAAACAAAAAGAAACTAGAAAGGTATGAAACACTGCGCCCATTCAGACACAAATATACCCTTTAATGAATTAACAAATAATAATCTTATAATTGCCTTGCTGTTAATAGGATTCAAAAACTACCAACACTATCAAACAAAATATACGCCATTTTGTTTTACTTCTATGCGTTTCATTCTTTCTTTTTTTTTTTTAAATTGGCCCAAGTTGGAATCGGCATATCAAGTCGATTCCAAATTGGAATCAACTTCCAAATTGGAATCGACTTGATCCAACTTGAATCAAGCGTTGGAATCCAAGCCGATTCCAAGGCTTGGATCAAACTTGGAATCAGCTGAATGACTTCTGATCAGTGCAAAAATCGAATGCACTGATCAGGAAAAACCTGATCAGTGCATTTTTTAGTAAAAAAAAAAAAAAAAAAGGCATGCACATTCTATAATAGTTGTTCCCGTTTTTTGGTGTCTACTTGCAGGAGGCCAGAAGCAACAGCGTGGTTTGCAGAAAACTGAATAGACAGAAAGCATCAGCCTTTTTGTTTAAATCGAGGGTGTACAGTAGGGACAGGTTTGACAGTAAGCACGCCTCCTTCCTCCTATGCAGCCAAATACGCTTCACAAAGACTCCATGTTAATTGCAAACAGGCACAACCACTTAACATCACAGGGCCTCGCTGATGAGCTTACCTGGGCTCAGGGAGGATGATTTTCTTACTGGCACGGGCGGCAGGAGTAGACTTGCTCTTCTCCATCGCCATCAAATAGCTGACATCGGCGAGTACCGCTTCGAGGTCCGCCATTTTTCGACCCTTTAGGGAAGCAAATTAATAAAAACAGCAGGCTTCCTGTGGTGCATTTTTTTTTTTTTTTTTAACTATTCAGAGAATTAAAAGAACCGTTTCCTCCAGCGGAGAGGACCACCATCAAGGGCCAAGGTGCGATGACAGGGGGGGCCGGTAAAGGGGAGGGGGTCCGGAGGAAGCGGAATCGTGTAGATGTCTGCGGCTGCTAACCTCAAGCCACCATCATCATTAAGACATAAAAAGGAAATTCATGGGGGGTGGGGGGGGGATATTAAGGTGGGCTGTGATCGGATAAAAAAATTAATTAATAAGTAGTCCGTGGATCAGCTCGATCGCCGTCCTTGCAATCCCATTTGGCGCAAAACTGCAGCCGGATTGCGCCGTATGAGCGCCGGGAGGAAAGGTGCTAAAATAAGCAGGAACGGGCTCGTTTTGGTGTCAGCGCTTCCTCGCTTCACAGGGCTGCCGTGATATGCAGCCTTAGTGGACAGCTGTCAAATTCTGCACGTCTCTCGGGACTTCCTTCCTGAAAAAATTTGCCCAAACGATCGGTTTGTCTCCAGTTCCACATGGGGTTTCGATTCGGGACTTTCCCTTCAAATGTAAACAAATGTGCAGAAAGGAGGGGATAGGGGGTGGGGGGTCCAATTTTAGAGAAATGGCAGGCGGAGTCTGCAGTCCGAACGTGAGATGTAACTCCCGATTGCTTTCGTGGCCTCGATAACACCAGAGGGTCTGCGTTACAGCAAACAAACAGGAACACGTGTGGCTCGTTATGCTCGAACCATCACATTTAGGGAAGGGGCGGGGGGATGGATTTACTGAAAAGACCTGAAAAAGACCCTCCAGGGCAAGTTAAATGTGGCGATCCGTTGTCCTCGTCTCCAAATATTAGAATCCTTTAAGCAAGTTTTGGCACCTTTAAGTCCGTGCGATCAGAAGATGAAAAACAAGCAGCATTCATAATAATGATCTCCGTTCAATCCCACTCTCCGCTGTCTGTGTGGCTATTTGTTTTTCCTTTTCTGCTCCGTCCTTTTTTCGCTCGGCTTCCTGTTGCAGCCGAAGTGCTCCGTGCGGGGCGCAGCAATCACGCCGAAAATACCGTTGGAAAAGACGCGGATAAACACCTTGAACGCTTTAGTTCCAAATCCAGAGCGGGCACGGCGTGATTAACTAATCACAAGCCAAATCCACGCGTCGTGGAGCTAACCTGCTGTAGCCTCCTGCTGGTGTCGATATTCGGGTTCGCCTGCTAGCTAGCCCAACACGCTAGCTAGCAAAAATGAAACCCGCTAGCCAGAAGGCTAAATTACCATTGAGCGAGCAGTTTCGACAGCTGCATTAAAAAGCCCGTAAAGCCACTTGTCAACACGGTTATTACAAGCTGGTTGATTAACAGCGGCGCAGTTCCGACACCGTGCAGTAGTTTACCTAAAAAGCTAACGGCTGCGGGTGTTCTTGCTTCCGTCTCCTTGTTATTGGGGAAGTCTCGCTGCGCTTCCGAGAAACAGCCCAGGAACTTGAGGAGAAAAATATCAGTAAAGATGACAAATATAGTCCATGGCTTCTCGTTGAGTTATCCGGAGCATGGGGAGGAGACCCAGCACGGAGCTGCACACTGTGACGGTAGCAGAGGAGGGAGGGAGCGCGGAGAGATGGAGAGCAGCTCGGTTGTCCAGTGGTGGTTTCACAGAACTGGGAGTCGAGGTTATTAACAGTTAAGACGATGATTGTTGGGGAGACTGTTATATATTCCCACGCCAAAATTGAAGGAACACGATGGGTGTGCCACTGTTTTCGAGGTCTTCTCACACAGGGAGTTGGAAATACTAAGAAAAATCAGCAGAGTCGAGCAGGTCGTCGTTTTCCGCGCCAGCCAGCCAGAGCCGAGCGGTTCCTGCCTACCAGGCTGTCCGTGATAGGGGAGCCCTCTCTCTCAAGCTGCCTGTGAGGAGCACTGACGCTGTCCCTTGGCTGTCTCGGCGACGTATGCCAGTCGATAGAGCCCGCTCCGTTCAGTCAAGCGTATCGTTTCCCAGCAAAAATGTGGCACATGTTTGCTCGAAAACCCTCCTCGCTGTATATTTCTGTAGGGTTTTTTGCTAACACGGTAGCGTCTCCGCTTGACTCTCGGCTCGACTTCCTCTCCCACTGCGGCGGAGGGAGGCCGCTAAAACGTGGAGCGGCTTGTTCTGTTGCAGGAGTCGGAGCTCAGTGTTTCAGTGCTTGGAGAAGGGAGCGCTTGTGCTTCAGCCAGCCTCTTTTTTTTAGTGCTTGCCAAATGCATGTCAGTCAGAAATTTGACGAATACACAAATGAGCTTTGGCCCGCAAGTGAATATACACGTCCTAGTCGCGATGTCGTGTTTCACCTTACATATCAGAACAGCCAATAAGCGGCAGCCATTTGTGACATTTAATATCACGGCACTACATTTATCTGTCAGGATGACACATACGGGATTCATGCGAGGTTGAGGTAGAAATGCAGTGCCCTTCCCTGGCATGCCGCGGTAATGCTTCTAAGAAATCTAAAACCTTCTTATTGGCATAATTGTATGAAAATGATACCTTTTGCGAACAATGGTCTGAAATTTGTGGCAGTTTTATGTATACAGTATTATGTATTAGTATTATGTATACACGTATTTCCACTGTAGCAACAGCTGTATGTCTTGAGGTATGTGTCTCTGACACGCATCTACAGGCTGAGAATGCTTTAGTCAGACTGGATAGAGACCATCTGTTAAATTTCAAGTTTTACCACAAATTATCAGTTTGTTTTATGTTTTACTTTGACTGGGTCATTTGACATTTGATGTCAGGTTTGTAGTCCTACTTGAAAATGGAATTCTATTCCAGTCTCAGGCCTTTTACAGTTTTAAATCATTTTTCCTAAAGGATTTCTCTGTAATTAACTTGATCCATCTTCCATCTTCTCTGTTTCTGCTGCAGAAAACCATCCAGAGCATATTGTTGCTGCCACTAATTCAGGGTGATGTGGAGTGTTTGTTATCTGACCTAGCATGACCACCATATGCTCTAATACACCCAAATTAAAAAAAGTTACTCTTTCACTTTCAAATTTCATGAGAAAAAAAGCCTCCTCACCCATGCAGGACACCCAACCCCATGTCGCCTACAGATCTTTACGGAAAACCATCCGTAAAGATTCTCATTCACACACGATATCGTGTGTGAATGAGAATGTGTGGTGTAAAGCTCCATGAACTTTCAGTCCATTTATGTTAATGTTCCGACAACAACTCCCCTAAAACTTTGGTCCTTTATTTATTTACTTTTGTCAATTTGTGTAAGTGATCACCTTTTTCTGATAAGTTTGTGCTGGATGTATGAATCTTTGGATCAGGCTTTGAATTTTTCTGTGTTTCATTTATACATTTCATAGCTTCAATCTCGGCTTCATTTAACCTTCCACTCTGCCGTGATGAAACATTCAGAAATCATTCAGATTTCTGACACTCTCAGCTAATGCTGATATTTCTCATTACCGCTTTGCTGATTAGAGAGTCATTTTAACTGGAAACGCAATCAAATGTAATCCAACAATAATTTTCCAAATCCATCAAATCTTAAAGAGGTTAATCTGAATGTAATTCTGTGGAGGTCAAATGTATAAAAACTAAACATGCTTAAGCATATTATAGTTACACTTTGAAATTAAGTTAGACATTCAGAGATCAATATTTTTATCCCATTGATGTGTTCAGCTGTGTTTGTGTAAAAATTAAATGTTAAAGTATAAGACGATAAAGTGAAATAGCTTGAACTAATCTATAATAGTGAAAGTCAAATCCTTGTTTCAAATGGTTGGAAGATTTTCTCAAATGATCAGAGTACCTCGATAATTAAATTCCTTGAGGTAAATAATCTGCCTTGAAGCTTCATTAAATTATGTTTTTTTTATTCAGAGCACCATCTTCCAGTAATTATTTGTGTTGCTCAACACTTTTACTTCGCTTATGAGATGTAAACGAATGCTAATGTTAGCAGCATAACGTCCAGTTTTTAAGTTTGGTTCAGGGAATACGTGGGTATTTTGTTGATTTATGATAATGTCAAGGTTTTTATCATTTTTCAGGGGATCAATAAGCATCTTTAAGTTGACTGGTGCGATGCCTGGAGTCTGGCAACCTTTCTTCTCCCAAAGCTGCTGCTTAGTGGCTGGTTCAAAACAAACGGTGGGTGTATGTATAAGGTGAGTGGATAGACTGAACACAGCTGGTTGGTGTGCTGTAGTTGATGCTTAAGGTAAGAGTAGCTTCACGGACAAACCGGAAAATAAATTTACCTCCATCCCGGTCGCAACAAATGGGCGACGGAGCACACTGGAGGAACCAAACCCAGTCATTCACATCATGGACAGACAACCTGTGAATGGATGTGCAAAGTGAGAGTTCTGAAGATGAGTACGTAAACTAAAAACTGGAGTATGGACTTTTTTTTTTTTTTTCAATAAATGTCTTTGTGAGTCTGGCTCTATATTATTAAATTGAATATAATTTTGAATTTTTGTATAATTTTTGTCCAGGTTAACTGAAAAAGTCAGCTATTATTGTTACAGGTTAGCTTTCTAAACTACAGAAACGTAAGTGTAGGGATGCTCAAATATGAACAATTGGGCCGATGTTGATATCTGATTGTAATACTGCTGTTATGGCAGCATTTACAAATATTTTACTTTATCAAAATTTTTATTTGAATAATTGACCAAACATCAGAATAATCAATCGAATATCCATCCATCCATCCATCTTCTTCCGCTTATCCGGGATCGGGTCGCTGGGGCAGCAGCCTAAATAAGGAGGACCAGACTTACCTCTCCCCAGCCACTTCTTCCAGCTCCTCCGGGGGAACCCCAAGGCGTTCCCAGGCCAGCCGAGAGACATAGTCCATCCAGCGTGTCATGGGTCTTCCTCGGGGCCTCCTCCCGGTGGGACATGAACACCTCACCAGGGAGGCGTCCAGGAGGCATCCTGACCAGATGCCCGAGCCACCTCAACTGGGTCCTCTCGACGTGGAGGAGCAGTGGCTCTACTCTAAGTCCCTCCCGGATGACCGAGCTTCTCACCCTATCTCTAAGGGAGAGCCCAGCCACCCTGCGGAGGAAACCCATTTCGGCCGCTTGTATCCGGGACCTCGTTCTTTCGGTCATGACCCAAAGCTCATGACCATAGATGAGGGTGGGAACGTAGATCGACCGGTAAATCGAGAGCTTCGCTTTTTGACTCAGCTCTCTCTTCACCACGACGGACCGATACAGCACCCGCTTCACGGCAGACGCTGCACCAATCCGCCTGTCGATCTCCCGCTCCCTTCTTTCCTCATTCGTGAACAAGATCCCCAGATACTTAAACTCCTCCACTCCTCAATCGAATACTCAATTACTAAAATAATAACTTACCACAGTCCTATTGTTAAGTAAGAAAAATTAGACACATTCTGTAGTGTTAATCTGTTGGCTTATAGAACATGCAGAAACATTAAAACACAGCTGTTGGACCTTAAAGAAGTACTACGCTTGGTTTCAGTTTTAATAAATGACAGTACTAATCTATTTATTAGTTGAAGATCTGAAAAGATGAATATTTCTTTTAATCAAAAATTGTCTTTTATAATGTATGTTTATAGACTAAGTGTTTTATTAAAGGCTGATGCTAACACTTGTTTGTATTTGTTTATTGTCACAAAATACAGAACCGGCTCAGACTGAAGTAAAGCACTCTGGCCTTTAGGGCCAAAAAGCCATCAAGAAAATCAGAGCATTTGATTTTTTATGCAGAAATCAAATGCTTGAAGTAAACTTTCCATTTAAAGTTAAGTTTACCACAAATGAGCATACAATAAAAAAAGGATCCAATTCTTTCTTAAAGGTTGAAAAGGACTATTGAAATTGAAATGTTGTAACAGTTAGCCAAAAGGGAAGCTAACAGTTTCATAGTTGTGTTAAAGTCCTAATGAAATACAATGTTTAAATCTTACTAAATTCTCTGCATGCGTCTGCTGTTCGTGTTTTCTATTAGTTAATCGTCTTGAATGTCAGAGTTTCCCAAATAAAACTCTGCTTCTGTCCCCACTCAGACATGGGTCAGCTCCGAGAAAATGATCAGATTTTTCTATTAATCCATTTTGTAAATATCAGAAACACATTAAAAGAATTTTGAAACAATTTGTTTTTTAATTTTCGCAAACCTTTGAGGTACTAAAAACAACATTAAATAGGTCTGCTTTAAAAAAACCGTTTAGGAGGTTAAAAAACCGCTCAGATAAAATCCGTCATGAAAATTGACTTGTCTATTTTACAAAAAACAAACCTAGAAAATATAAGATAAACCATTTACTGGGTTCTTTATTGGACTCTTTTCCACTTTTGCAATTAGTTGCCCTGAACACCATCATTTGACCGGGGAAGAAGTGAACATATTTCATCAAAATCATGAGCAAAAATGTGGAACGTGTTCCTCAGATAACCAGATACACTGGTGGAAATCAGTAGGATTTAAGAAAAACAGTTTATTCAGCATCAGAAGCCAGAAGAGGTCGTGGGTGAAGGGTCAAACGGGAAATCGGGTTCATTTCGTGAGTGGGCTGTTACTGCTGAATACGGCGGATGGACTGGATCTGAGGGGTCTGGCAGTGGGAGCCAAACTCCCTGAAGTGTTTGTACTCCCCACAGTGACGATCACACTCCATGATATACTGGTAGCCACGATAACCAGGGTACTGGTAGCAGACAAATCTGTGGAGGGTGAAGGGGTAGGGTAGGAGAAAGTAAGTCCAAAAGTGGTTGTGTAAAAATCCAAGCAGAATATATATATATATATATGTATATAAAAAGAACTGGACAGGAAAGTAGCTGGGAACACTCACGCTCCTGACTGGACCCTGAAAGATCCAACTTCGTTGTTGCACCAGCCCATGGCCTGGAGGGAGGGATAATCATCACTAAGCTCACCCTTACGGCCCATGAAGTTCTCACGCTCGAAGATAGTCATACGACACTCTCTGTGGTTCTGTGGAGGGGACATATAAGGGTGGGAGAAGTAGAAAAACAGAAACACTCAAGTTGTTGGTCTGGTCAAACAGGTCTATAGTTATCATCCAAAGTAATTACCTGTCACAATTTTACAGACAACAACTTTCCCCTAAGCAACTGATGAGTGGAGACTTACAGCACAGGCGATAGGTCTGAAGGAAGTCATCCTCTCGATGTGATAGGCATTGCTGCCTCCAAAAGCATCACACTGGGGGTACTCTCCCCTCTCCAGGATGAACTGCTGTCCCTGGTAGGAGGCGTGCTCATAACCCACCCAGCTGGGACGAAGCAAGGGAAAGCAGCTCTCTGTTAGTACGGGCAAATCTCAGAGTGCTAATTCTGCTGTCCAGCATCGACTTTTATGTCAGTGCTGAAGTTTGTGCTGCCCTCTTCGAGCAGATGTACTCACGCTCCACTCTCCACCCTGAGGGAGCGCACACTCTCGAAGCCGAACTCCATCACATTGCAGCACTCGGAGGTGAACTCGTGGCGGCGGCCCTGGAAGCACTCCTCATCGTAGACAATAATCTGTGAGGGAGACGACGACAGGTTATGAGAGGCTACTCTGGACCCATAATCACAAACTATCTCCTAAACTCACAACAAGGCAAACAAAATCACATTAACCAAACAATGTTAAGGCTTGAGACTGTTCATTTTGCTTGCTTGTTCAATCATTGGGGCTACCAGAGGAAATCCCATCTTTGTGATAGCATAACGGTTTGAAAAAGGTCAGGTGATGTCGTAGTCTACTCCAACACCTGTGGACTCACCTTCCAGTGGCCGGAGAACTTGGTGCA